AAATATTATTTATTTCATCTGATACGTTGAACAAGAATAAAATTTCAATTGTCTATTATGTTTTTTCACGTTATTTATCCAATATTACTTTTTTAGTTTTCCAATTAACTGAATTTTAAACTTCTACAAAATATTTCGTATTTTCTACAAAACACTTCTACAAGTGTTTGAAAAACGTAATACAAATTCATAATTTTTTATGATAATGTATTAGGTTTTACGCCTATCCTTAAATGGTCAATAAGTAACACTGCAGGATTATAAAAATGACTTTCAAAATACAAAATATTGTGACCATGGTCAGAGATTTTGAAAACTTCCATATAATGCTGACATATGTAATATAAATAATTTTTGCCAGACCTGTTACCACATTTCTATCAGATCTATTACCATGAATCTAAAATTACAGATTAACAGAAACAAATTTTCCTAAAAATTTTCAATTTTAATGTCAAACTAGTGGTGTATGGCATCGTGTCTTAATGCAAATTGCTGAAACTTTCCGTACCATAATAAAATATTCAAAAAATAAAATTTAGTTAATTTTTTTTGAAAATAAAAAAAAAGTTTTTTGAATCATTCAAATCGGATACTTAGTTCTCTCAAAAACTGCCATTTTTGCATATTTACCTCCGTATCTCCAAAAAAGGTAGACCTGCATTTTCCAAAATCTAATTACCAGTTCTACCCATCACGAACTGAATGTTTTTTGGTTCATTCAAATCGAATGCTGCGTTCTCTCAGAAGCTCTATTTCTATTTCTTGCACACTTTGTTCCGTCTCTCCGAAACGGCTGGACATGCCTTTGCCAAAAACTAATCAGCACATTCCCTACCAGGAATGGAATATTTTTTGAACCGTTCAAATCGATTGATCCGTGCGCTCGAAAACGTGGACTAAGAATTGTATCCATACATACATACACACACACACCTTCACATCCATTTTTCTAAGGTATGCCAAAACGTTCAGAAACCTTCAAAATGTGAAGATATGCAAAAATTTGCAGTTTCGATTTTTGGACAAATTCAATAACTTACCCTACGGGAAGTTGAAAATATTGTTCAATCAAATGCAAGTGGCATGTTTCGTTAAGGGAAAGTTGTAGGTATTTTTCGATATTTATAATATAATCTACATAATCAACAAGAATTGGCGTTTTTCTTAATTCACTTTTTCAATTTTATATCAGTTATCTGCTAAACATAAAGAAATGGCTTGGTCGATCGCCTCGCGAAACCTATTAACCCGAGTCTTTCTTGGGTTTTATTGAATTGGGTTGTTAAATTTTTTAAATTAGTGTAGATGCTTTTGAGTAATTTTTGACGAAAGGTCAAATCTTTTTCCAATGTTGATCTCAAATGATTCAAAATAATATGAAACTTCAAAATAACAAGAAAACATAAAATTATCGAATCTGAATTTCTGGCAAAAACGTAAACTTCTCCTTAGTAAGTAAAAATCATCGTTTTATCTAGCCGTAAGGGTGTGGAATGGCGGGATCTGAATCAGAGGTTCCGGGTTCGATACCAGCTTCGATGTCAACCAATCGGTTGTCGCTTGGAAAAATATATAGTAGAATGTTTATATGTCAAAATAGCTCTCGACAGAAATGGTCTTAATAAAATTCATCAAACAGAGATAGGACAACTGTTTGGGTTGTCATCTATAAAACCGACATAGTATTAATAAATGAAATCAACACAACAGCTTATAAGAGTCTTAAGTTCTGATTGCTGTTTAAATAATAATGAAAAACAATTAATTGTGTTCAAAATACGTTTATAATGGCTCCGAATATTTTTCACTATTTATCTCATGCTTACCGTTTCGTCACCGTCACTGTGTTTACTTCGTTGATATTTTTTTTGTATTTGAAAATGCGTATTTTACAAATTTTGTATACAGTTTGTGTTATCGCTTAATTGTTTACGTTATTTACATTCCTTATCAGCTTGTAAAAACATATTGCTAGCTCGTGGTTTATTAATAACTTCTTATGTTTCATACAGCAGGAGTAAGAAAATCTGGGCAAAGTTTAAATCGTATTATCACATAGCTAGGATTGCTCATTTCATTAATTTTATAAACAATATTCTTATACAAACGGTAAGGAATGCGTTATTCAACAAAATAACTGCAAATGGAATCTGAAATGAGAACCATGTGCAGTGCAATATAATTTTAGAGCTATCAGGACTGATCTTACACCTGGGTCGCAATTTGTTGTTGTTGGGGATTTTAATTTTATTTTCAACTTCCCGTAGGGTAAGTTATAGTAATCGCAAAAAAATCGAAAATGAATTTTTTTCGCATATATTTACGTTTCAAAAGTTTCTGAACAATTTGGCATACCTTAGAAAAAATTGATGTGAGTGTGCATGTATGTCTGGATACAATTTTTCGTCTATGATTTCGGGCGAATGGATCAACCGATTTGAATGATTCAAAAATATTCGATTCCAACTGGGGATGGGGAGGCGTGGGCACACTTAGGTCGAGCCGTTTCGAATTTCGAATTTTCGAAGAAGTAACGGAGCGTCCGATTTGAATGATTCAAAAACCATTTTATTTTGTTTGGGAAGGAAGGTCCAGCGGTTTCGGAGATACAGAAGAAAATGTAAAAAATATAATAATTAGCAGTCTAAAATGAGCATTAGACATATCCACATCAAATTATCAGGCATTTTGAACATGAGTATCAATTTTATTACAATTTTTTTGGGTCTCGTACCAAGATTCTTAATTTTTGAAGTTCACTTATACGGTTCAAACAAATTTCAAAATTTTCAGAAAAAAAAGTCAAAATTTTCAAAAATATAAATGGTTTTATATTTTAAATATAAATTTTGAATTCACAATTCAGTTTAAAAATATATATATATTTTATAAACGTTATTGTAATCGTAAGAAATATATCCTCAGATGGATTCATTCGGCATCTCTTCTTAATGTAAACATTTTTAAGTTTTTTGAGCGATAACGTTTTATGAACGATTAAATACATAGTAATTATAATTATCTCTTTAGAAATATTTAAAACAGTTGTTACTGATCATTGATCAATATTTATTGATTATTTTTTTTGCTTGGATATTCCAGCAATTTGCCTTAAAGCACGATGCCATGCACCACTAGTTTAATATTTAAATCATTTTGAAAAAACAATTTACAAAAATAAATTGTAATTATAATTATCATTTATTCAAATGCAGTATATTAAGTTATACTGACAAATTACTAGAAAGTAGATAATTTTTTTTTGCAAAATGAAGGCTACGAAAATATTTCTCAGAATAATACTAACTAGCTGTAAACTGATGGATAGATGAATAGATATACAAATGAACAGATACTAACGAGTGTAGGATAATTTAAAAATGAAACATTTGATATCAGCATTATAATTATTATTAACTTACATTTAGTATGATTTTCCATCAAAAATTCCATAGTCAATTATAATGTTCACTTATACGGTTATACCAGTATAAAGAAAATTATGTATTCTGTGTTTGGTTCTCTGTAATTTTTCTAATTTATGGTCGATACAAACTATTATAATACTAAAATTATAATGAAAAAATTATTTTCCATTATTAGTATAATTGCAAAGAAAATAGTTTTTTAATCACATATCGCGTGCTGCAGTTAGTTTCACTGTTAATCTATTAATTTGTTATTTATTTCTTATTATTATATAACAACTAATATAAGCATTAAATAGTTCTATACTCAATAATTTTATACTGAATTAAATTTTAAGAAGAAATATTTATTCAATGACATTATTTAATTTAATTTAAACAAGTTAAAACAAGGTTCTAGCTAAGGGATAATCTTGTTATGAAGGTGTCTTACACTTATTTATTATTCGCATTAAAATAATTATTAAAATATGTTATATACACCTACACATGATTTGGAGGATTATTAGCTTAACATCCGAGATCAATTTTAACTTTCAACAATGCAATGACAAAACTTGAGATAAGAAATTATGAATTATTGCATGTCAATTTGAATTGCATATGTGCCGCTAAATATTAAACTAACATATTCAAGCATAAAAAATTAATATAAAATTATAGCATAAGCAGCATGCCATATAGAGAGTTTTAAAAACAAATCACAGTATCAAAACAATATTTAAAATATATTATCGAATATAATGAAATATCCAGATTATGTATATAAAAATGAAAATTATTATAAATGACTAAATACGATGACAAAGGCAAAGGAAAGAAGGAAAGGAAAAAGAGTGGATTTTTGGAATATAAGGAAATCCACACACACAAACAAAGACACGCACACACACACACACACACACATATATATATATATATATATGTATATATATATATATATATATATATATATATATATAAAGGACATAAGTGATTTGCTGTAGGGTTTCTTAAGTATAAACTTGCTATATATAGAATTTATGTCGATTTTTTATAAAAATAGATAAATTTATTATATTATAATCTTGAAAATAAATTTAATAATTCAGTGTCCAAATATTTATTGTTTAAATTAGTGCTTAGATTATCGTTTTAATTAGTTATACCTATATGTTGTGTTTATCTAAGAACATGATGACTTAATATGAGTTGTATGAGCATTGCATTTACTTATACATCTCATATTCTATAACTTACACACCTAACGGATAAAATTATATTACGAAATTTTACATATAATGGTATATATATTTTGAATGTGTATTTTGTAATGATTTCAATGTCGCGCCATTTTTGTTATGTGGTGTTCTCTTATCATAGAGTGTATCCTTCATATTGGATCTATGTTTGTCATTCTATGCAAAAATATATTTTTCCTTTTTTGTCTAGGAAGAAAGTAAGAATAACAACTAGTAAAAAATTAAGATTTATAAAATACACCATTTTTTTGTAAGGATTTAAGTATTATTATTTTTACCACTTTCTAATCAACTTATTGAATATACATTCTATTATATTTGCAGATTATTAAGCGTAGACGTAAACGCATTGGATGACGTCTACTGGTTGGAAGATTCTCGTTCCCGTCAACTCTTCGGTAAAGATTTTGCAGCGTGGACATCTGCCAGGCAGTCGTTACCAACATCCAAGAATTCTCTGGAGTCGTTAAAGGCTGAACTCTGGTCGAAAGTGGTCAAAGATAGTCGACACCAGGACGCTTGGACATGGGGTGAGTTGAGAATTAAATGAATGTCAAACTTTTTATATTTTGATAAGAAGAAAGTCCTTCAAACAGGCAACATCTGTCGTTCTAAAATATACTGTAATAACCGCACCAAATCTCAAATTTCAAAAAAGTACAATAAACGTAAATGTTTTTTAAATTACCGTAAAAGCAGTTTACGTTTTCGTGACAAAATCCGATTTACTATTTTATGTTTTCTCGACGTTTCAAGCTATTCTGAATTGAATGAGACCAAATTTGAGAAAAGTATGTGTATGTGTCTGTATGGCTGTGTGTATGTGTCTGTACGGCTGAACCGATTTCAAAAATTTAAACACCATTCGATGTACTAGGCCGAGCCATTTCTTTGTAATTACCAACAAAGTGTAAATTTTTTTGTCCACGTTTTAGCTTACAATTATGAATCAATTTTAAAAATTCAAAAACCATTCGAAATATATATTGGTTGGGAATCGTGCTGATTGGTTTTGGTAAAGATCGGTCGGCTCGTGTTGTAATTAACGTTTGTTGGCGTTAGTAAAAGACCTTTCATCGAAGTTTTCTCAAAAAACGACTCGATAGAATTCAAAAATTTAAAAGCCATTTGATGTAACTCGATTAGAACTAGCGTTTGTCAGCTTTGCGACGATCAGCCTAATCGTTCCTTTGTTAATAGCAGAAAAGTGAAATTTTTTTTGTCCACGTTATACTAACAATTCTGAATCGATTTCCAAAATTCAAAAACCGTTCGAAAGATATGATCTGCAAATCGTGCTTATCAGTTTTTAGTGAAGATCGGCCGGGCCATTTTCTTGTGATTAACTATTAATTTTTTTTTTCAATTTTTAAATATCAATCGGAAATCGTAATGTTTAGATTTACTTGAAAGCGAAAACGTTATTTTTAAAATATACAGTTGAAAATTTTATCTAAATATCTGCATCTCAATTTCAGTTGATTAAGTCAATTATTACGCATTTCGGGAAGCTCATGCAATATGCCTTAAGGCAAAAAGCCACTTTCAACTAGTTTTATATTTAGAATGTGTGTTTTCTAATGTTTTAATCATTTAGCCAGGTACATAATTATGTACCTTATGCATAATACTATTATAACTTTTATTTGAAATAATGGATATATTTGAAATAAAACTAGTGGGGCGCATGGCATCGTGCCTTAAGGCAAATTGCTGGAACTTCCCGTACCAAAAATTATTATTTTTTTTAAAAGATTAACACTGTTGAAAAAAATTTACTTCAAAAAAATTAGATTTTCGAGAAACTATAAATTTGACAAATAATATTTTTTTTATAAAAAAAATATGAAAAAAATGTTTTCTATATTTTGGACATTCTGAACTTTTTTTCAAAGCAATCTTACTGCTTTAACTGCATATAGACGAGATGTCATAGCGTAAGCGCCGCCTCGCCGTCTAATGGATAAACATTAGTACGGAACCCATAGTAATGTAAACAAAATTTATACTTATTGTTAAAATCTCTATAAAATATCTGATTATTTGATGTGCATATGTCTAATGATCATTTTTTACCGCCAAATGGCATTTATTTTTACTTTTTTCACTAGATCTCCGAAACCGCTAGACCTGCCTTCATAAAAAATTGACCAATTCTTCATCTTGTCAATACAAGTAAAATGTTTTCCAAATTATTAGAGTCAGACGCTCCCTTCTCTTAAAAACCGAATTACCATTTTTGGCACTTTTTGCCCCGTATCTTGGGAACGGCTAGACCTACCTTCGTCAAAAACTAATCAGTACGTATCCTTATCAGTATGAATCGAATGTTTTTTGAATTATTCAAATCGGTTGAACGGTGTTCCCGAAATCTTTTCTTTAAAATGAATTGTTTGATTGATGAAGCAAGCATTTTTTTAAAATTTTTTTACAAGACAACCAAAGTTTCTTTGGCTATAGAATCTGCAGCGATGTATTTATTGCAAAAATATGGAATATTTTTTATTATTCATGAACGTAAAATGTTTCTTTGTATTTTCATTTTCAGCAATGTAAATTGCAATTGATGACTTAGACATGAATGCAATGGACTAACGCACTTTATATATAACATGAACATGATATTATGCAATGCTTTATCCACTTGCGTATTAGTTTAACAGTGCTAATGGTTCACGTATACGATAATGAAAATCCTCTCAACTGACAATGAGTAAAATGTTGAGTGGCATAGTTTTTAAGGTACCACATTCAAACGGGTAACATATAAAAGGGTAATGTGTAGACTATATTTCGAAAGCCTTTTTTTAACTTCCCCTAAGGTAAGTTATAGTAATCGCAAAATATTCGAAAAATGAATTTTTTTATATATCTTCACGTTTCAAAGGTTTCGGCATACCTTGAAAAAATGGATGGTATACCTTAGAAAAAAACTGATGTTTGTATGTGCGGATGCAAATTTTCGTCGATGATTTCGGGAACACGGATCAAGCGCATTGAATAATTCGAGAAAAAAATCGATTCATATTGATAAGAAGACGTTCTGATTAGTTGGCAAAGGCAGATCTAGCCGTTTCGAAGATACGGGGCCAAAAAGAGAAAAATGGTAATTCAGTTTTTGAAAGAACAGAGCGTCCGACTTGAATAATTCAAATACATTATAATTTTATTTGTATCGACAAAATGTAGTACTGTTTAAATTTTTGCGAAGGCAGGTCTAGCTGTTTCAGAGATCGAGGTAAAAAAGTGAAAAAATGTCATCTATTATTAGACATATGCCCATCAAATTATCAAATATTTTAGTAATAAGTATGAATTTTGTTTACATTTCTGTGAGTTCCGTACCAATGTTTATCTGTTAGACTGCGATGCGGCGTATACGGGCTTCAATATTTCTTCTATAAAAAAAAAGTTAATTTATAATTAATAATTTATCCAAAAATTGTAAAAGTCTCAAAAATCTCAATTTTTTCAAAGTTTAATTAAAAAGGGTTTATAAAAATTTTAATTTTCGGTTCGAGAGGTTCCGGTAATTTGCCTTAAGGCACAAAGCATTGCACCACTAGTTTAAAAAAAAAATCATATTGCAAACTAGTAGAAACTAGTAAATAATCTATTTATGTAGGCATACCTATTGGTTGTAGCGTTTTATATTGATAAAAACTATTGCAGATTATACAATTTTGAGCTAAAATAACGAACATACTAACAATAAGTAATTATGCAAACATTTTAATAGTTATAAATTATTCAAGGAGAAACTAGTTCCGTTCTTGCGAGTAGGTACGTCTTTGTAAGCATGGGGTTAGTTAACTATCCTAAGGGTGCGACCCATTTTTCAGAACTTTAATGAATTTTATAATTAAACCAGTTTTTGTATGCTTATAATATTTTTTGGTGTTTATTTAGACTCCAAACTTCATCACTACGCAAAGTTTAAATAAAATCGCCTATTAATTTTTGAACAATTAATTGTGAAAAAACAGATTTGCCTTTTGTTGAGTCCCAAGTACAATGGTCAATCTTTCGCGACAAAGAAATGATTTAGCCGATCGTCGAATTATTCTGATACATTTTCTTCAAATCAAAGTATTTACAATTTTTGAAATCGGTGCAGTTCAAGAAAACATCGACAATAAGTAAAATTTAGGTTCATTGGCAAATTAATATTATAGCAGAAAACATTTCTCAGTTAATAATTTTGAAGGGGTTTGTCACTGCGGAGAGTGTTCTGGTATGCGCTAATAAAGTCAAATGGTAAAACTTTGCGTTTCAGACAACCTGATATCAAGCGATCAGTGATATGTACTATCACTTCATTTGAAAATATAGTTGTCCACAAGTGAAAATAATGCCTCCCGGCATTGCTCCAATAATATGAAATATATCGTCACCATTAAAGGTGAATTCCCATCCAATTTAAGTACTAATTAGTACTATGCATTAATGCATAGGTCAACCACCGAGTTGCCTTAAATAACATACTACACGTATTGGGTATAATAACAATAGCTCATAAAACTCATTTCTGTTTAAAAATTCTGATTGCTGTTTAAAAACAAAAAAAATTAACAATATTTTGTTCAAACGTGCATTTAAGCCGCACATTACCTCTTGCAATATGATATTATTTTGTAATTTATTCAACGGGCACTTAAAAATAATTTTAACGTCATTGGTTATTAACATTATATCATTTTAGGTATATATTTCATAATTAATTCTGATGTGATTAGAAACTCAATATTTTGAAATACAAGTTTTGGAATATAACATTAAAATTACAACAAATACTTCAAAAACAAGTCTAATAAAAAAAGAATTTAACAAAAATTATATTATGATATGTACTTACAATTAGTAGTATAGTTTATATGAAGCAATATATTTAGTTTAATGCGACGCCTAAATATTTACATCAGATTTAAACTAACGAATCTAAGTCTGTACTGACTCAGTACGATCAGAAAATTATTCAATAGTAACCAGTATAAAAAAAACTTTATAATTTGGACCATTAAAAATTAAAATTTTCATATGTATTGCCATCAAATTCTAAGGTTAATATTATTTTCTTTGTGTTGTTTTAATTTTACGAACAGTTCTATTTGAAAATAAATTGTTTTCTATTATAAAAAGCCATTTGTTTTTTTTTTGGTTTAATATATTTTACTTCTTAAAATACCGGGTTTTTGTATCAGTACCGGAACATGTTAGGCTTAACAAGAACTTAAACATGTCTAATTTTATAATGAAGAAATTATAATAGAAAAAACATTAAGATGAGCGATATTTTCGATTTCAACCAACAATCAAAATAATTATCGTGCCAGATGAGTTTTAACGTGAATTTTAATTTTTCTATATCCGAATTGAAACCGAACAACAATGGCTTGTTAAAACAAAATTTATAATATTTTATGGTAGTACTTTGACTTTGGTCATAGTAGATCTGAAAAATGTGCCAGATAACTTATTTGTGTTTTTTTTTGGTTCAATATATTTTACTTAATAAAATACAAAATACCAGGTTTTGTATCATCACCGAAACATGCTACGCTAAATAATAAATCATACAAACATGATTTTATAATGATAAAATGAATAGCTGAAACAGTAAGATGAGCGTTATTTCTGTTTTATTTTAATAATATTAATTATTGTGACAGATGAGATTTAAAGCAAATTTTGAATTTCATTATATCCGAAATAAAACCAATTGACACCGGCTTGTTACAATTAATTTATAAAATTCTATAATTGTATTTCTTCTTTGTTCATAGTACATCAACTTTTTTGTTCGGTAATTCGATAGAATAATCATAAGATTTTTACTTAATGCAAAAAGTAACTAAAAGTTCCAGTATCTCTCATTGTAAAGATTAACAATAACTTTATTTTTTAGGCGGCATGTTGGTGGTGTCGGTGTCAGTGGCGGGTCTGGTGACTCTCGCCGCCATGACTCAACCCGCTCTGGCCCCTGAAGCAAGGCATTCTTTACTCCAATACGTCACAGGAAAATATCTGCTTCCTGCAAACTGCAAGGTAATTAGAGGAAATATTTTTTTTGCCCGAGATAAATCTGAATCATTAAAATTTAGTAGTTTGTTTTATGGTTTTGTCAGTATACCAAAAACTATCAGATATTTTTTTAACCAAAAATAAATGGTGATTAAACAAAAATTCTATAGGCTAATTTGCTAATTATTTGAACTGCAATAATAGCACCTACTGGGGTTCCATGTGCAGGACGTAATGAAGGTCATCCCAGTGGATTACTCAAATTTACTGTCTTAGATCGAAGAGGGCCATTTCTTAATTGTGGTTGATAATCTTATGAAAATGAATAAATTTATAAAAGATAGTTTATTTAAAACAAAACTTTAGAAATGACACCACCTTCTGTTTCTATTCAAATCCGATCTAAGGATCACTTGTTTTTCACAATCTTATAGTGATCGATTCCATTTTTTCACTACCAATTTCAGTGCCAATTTAGAGATCGTTGTGTAGTAGTTTGTTACTAATATACCTTTACAATATAATTTTGCAAGACAACTCAAAGTTTTGGATTGTTTTCTTTGGATGAATGCAATTCTTGATTCACTAGCGCAGCTCCACGAATCAACGCCATAAAAATAAGTCGGGTTTTCTTTCCTGACGAAATAACTTCAAAACGCACGAACCGATTTTGACAATTTTGCATTCGTTGGAAAGGTCTCGGGCTCCGCAAGGTTTATAGCTAAGAAAATTAGTGGTGCATGGCATCGTGCCCTAATTCAAATTGCTGGAACTTCACGCACCGTAATTAAAAATTCCAGTAATAAAAATAATCAATAATTGTTTTAAATAATTTCAAATAGATTATCTTCTTCTTCTATATATATAAAAATAAGTCGGGTTTTCTTTCCTGACGAAATAACTCCAGAACGCACAAACCGATTTCGACAATTTTGCTTTCGTTGGAAAGGTCTCGGGCTCCGCAAAGTTTATAGATGAGAAAATTAGTTGTGCATGGCATCGTGCCTTAATGCAAATTGCTGGAACTTCACGCACCGTAATTAAAAATTCCAGTAATAAAAATAATCAATAATTGTTTTAAATAATTTCAAATAGATTATCTTCTTCTTCTATATATATAAAAATAAGTCGGGTTTTCTTTCCTGACGAAATAACTCCAGAACGCACAAACCGATTTCGACAATTTTGCTTTCGTTGGAAAGGTCTCGGGCTCCGCAAAGTTTATAGATGAGAAAATTAGTTGTGCATGGCATCGTGCCTTAATGCAAATTGCTGGAACTTCACGCACCGTAATTAAAAAATCGAGTAATGACATTAGTGAGAATTATCAGAATTATGCTTGGTTAAGTCAACGAGCAATCCTTGCCGCAAAGAATAATGATGTACACGCACTGAATTTCACCATTCAATCAAAAATTGCTGACAATTTGGTGACATACCAATGATTCCGACTGGTCTTCCGTTTGACTTCAAACGATTGCAATTTCCAGTTCGCCTTGCGCTCGCAATAACAAGTCGCAAGGCCAATCGCTTAGCGTTTGCGGGATAAATTTCAAATAGATTATTTAGAAAATCATTGTTTTTCACATGGGCAGTTATACGTTGCCTGCTCACAAGTTGGAAAGCCATCCGCTTTGTTTGTTTAACGTCAGACCAAAAAAGCAAAAATCGGTTTACCAAAGAGCACTTCGATGAAACGGATAATTTGCGGATTCACTTTCATTTACTTAGAGAAGTTCAACTAAAAAACACTTCATTTTTGTAATCGAAATAAATTCATTACTGTTGTATAATAAAATCAAATTTTTCCTTTTCAAATATAAAACAAATAAAAAATTTCTCCATCTTTCTCACGAAACCATCTGGTGGCGAAACGGAATTCGTGGGGTTTGCTAGTCGCTTTATAAAGTAGTATATTCGAAAACTATTATATTGTTGTTATAAATTATATTATAATGCACTTACTTTTTTATATAGCCCTAATTTGATCATATAGGAATGTCTATGAAATTGAATCAATGAGAACATTTTTTATATTCAAGTTCACTCAAATTTTACCTGTATGATTTAACTTTTCAATATATATATTGAAAGATTACAGATATATCTGTTCAAAAATATATTATATATCAAAAATATTTTTTTAGGGAAGTAAAATACTGTATTTAATTATCTGATCATTTCACAAATTCGAAGATTTTATGACACGTATTTTATTTTATTTCTCTTGTGTCTTGTCACTCACGGCCAACTTGTGCTACCACATTGCTCCTCGTTCAGTGTTGGTACAAGCCAATTCGAAAGTGATTGGCAACACGTTGTATTCTATTTGTGTGAAGACCGGTCCTGTAGAGGGTGAAAGAGTTGTAGATTTGACGTCTGTGCATTTTCTTGCTTTAGCGAGATCTGGGCGTTGAGGTAGGCCGGTGGTCAGGTATAGGTATTTAATTGAAATTTAGTTGGCGTTGATGATCCAACCATTGCACTTGTTCTTGTATGTTGTGATTATTGGTCAGCGCTTATTGAAATTTGCGTTTTTTCGTCCGTCTACTTATTAGAAAAGTATAAAACTGTACCAAAATTACTGATTTGCTTTACAAATTCGAAAATGTCATGACTCGTTTCTTATTTTGATTTTCTTCTGCAAAGCCAACTGCGCATTCATAGTCAACTTGTGTTGCCAGTGAGTACCGTACAAAAATCAGTTGCCACTGTTGCACGAGATTTATTATGTTTGCTGATATTATTATTCATCTTTGTTATTTTTATATTAATTAATTAATAATGAATGCATTGATTTTATTCAGCCATTTGATCTCTGCTTTATTAGAAGTATATCTGATTATTACGAAAAGTTTTCAGCCATTGCAAATTAATATATTTGATGAGAGACGTAATGAGAATCGTACTCTATCAAAGTTCTATTTCAAAATATTTGCTATGGTAAATATAGCAGATTTGGAATATTGACAGTAAAGTATGCTAGTGTAAATGAAGTTTAATTAATTAATATTTACGTTCTCGTGTATTTTATAGCTCAGTGTCAAATATATTGATTTAAACGTTCATGCTATGAAGTATGGACTAATTAATATATCTATATCGCTAATATGAAAATCCATCAAAACAATTTATAATCTATATTAGACAAAAATGGATTACGATTTAGTAAAAAATGTTTTACAAGAGTAGTTTTAATATGTATGTCAAGATGCTCTTTTAATGGATAGTATATATCAAGACTTTCATTCTAATTTTTATATAAGATGGTTCATTAATGGGCAAATAAATTTAACATTATAGACACTTTAAATTGTTAAAAGTTTGTCTATCTATATATGTAATGAATCGTTCACTAATTACAATGAATATTTCATGCATATTTTATTAACTTCCCGTAATACAGGTTGTAGTAATTTTTGTAGTTATATTTATATAGTAATGATTAAATGTTGATCAAAACAAATCTAGCAGTTTCAAAATTTTGATCAAAATGCATAATTTGCAAAAAAATTTAAATAAAATTAAAAAAGAAAATCAATATTTTTAAAACAAATGCAATAAAATATGATTTTTTAACCAAAAGTTCCAAGATTTTCAACTTTTTCAAAAATTTCTAAGAAACTATTTTTTTCAAATTACACAGGATGTTTATTCTGTCTTAGCTCCATTAGGTTTTTTTTAGTAAGATCTTTATTGTTCAGTTATATGTAATACCTTATCTATGTTTTATCTCTGTTTTTCTCATTTTTGAGCTTGTATAAAATTTTATTGAATTCTCTTTATAATTATTTTGAAAAAAAAAATAGCACTTGTTCGTTTATTTTTATAATTTTTGTAAATTTACCTATTACTTTTCGAAAAACCGGGACAAATGTCCCGGGACCTGAGGTGACAATCCGGGACTGTCCCGGTCAAATGAGGAGGTACTAAAGTGACCATACGTCCCAGATTGGCCGGGACAGTCCCGTATTTCTATATTGTGTTCCAGGTTTTTTTAAAAGCATTATTTGTTTCGGATTGTCCCGGATTTTCAAAAAGTATAGACTTAAATTGAATTTTTGCACTTATTTGATAATAATATTACAAATATCCTATCAAATATCAGAAAATGTTATATTATAAGTTCGTATTTATAAGCTCGTATGAAACAATACGTTATGAATAAAAAAAATACTGAATACAAAATTCTGAAGATGGATCAAAATCGACTCTTACATTAATAATTTTGAAAAAAAATAATAATTATGAAAACTTTTTGACTGCTGCCAGGCATGAGTGCTATATTTTTAAAATCTCGTATGAAATATAAGTCAGTAATTGTAAAAAATGATTCATTTAAAACAAATTGTTTTTTATTGCGTTCTTAACTAGTTACTGTTATTTTAAATATTTTAACTTTTGATGCATACACTACCTCCCCCCCTCACCTTATTACGGATTACCTTAAAAAAATATGGTCACCTTAGAGGTATGCATGGTCACCTTAGTAGAATACGTTCATCGTCCAATTTAATAAGCACTTATAAATTTCTAGTATTTATAAAACATATATTTGAAAAGGTTTGAAACAATTGTAATTAATCATTACTGAATTTTTAATTATGATTGATTATTTTTATTCCTCGAATGTTTAATTACGGCACGGGAATTTCAAGCAATGTGCCTAAAGGAACAATTCCAGGCACCACTAGTTTGATTTATTATTAAGACATTTATAGGTTGTGTTTTATTATAATAATAACCAGATAATAACGCAATTTTTTCCAGGTGCAATGGGATTGGTCGGAACCCCAGCGCGTCGGTGGCACCATGTGTTTCACCGTGCGCTTCTATCAACGCAATGGGCAGCCGTATCCGATCTGCGATACAGATCAGCTGTTCGTTGAGGTTACTGAAGGAACGAGGAAGGTAATTCCGCAAACAATTCTAACAGGAGTTCCAATAGAAATAGTGAAATATCGATTGGTGTTCGAATTGCTCCATACCCATTCATTTGGTCTTTCTCGTTGTAGATAACATAGACCGAAAAATGTTCATTTGCATGCATCTTCAAGCTTTGATGATTCGACATCTTTTTTTCTCTGCGACAAAATGTCACAAAACGATTATCGCAAATTATTATGCAGAGTGTTTTTTCTGCCAGATGTTGAGCGTCATTGTCACATTCTTTACGCAGTAATCAGTTCAAAGTTTAATTTGGCATTTAGTCATGTTTTTGGGACCTCGTTTATAGGAATTCGCAATTATTTAATCAATGAAGTTTAATAAATTTTATTTCAATAATCAGGTATTTGTTGGAATTTTACTTTTTTATTTATTTATTTTTGTTCACTTTTGAACAAAATGACATACTCAGGCGATGGTCAAAATGATATAGCACTTTTTTGCAAGAATTACAGAGTAGTTCATTCAAGTCCAAGAAAAAAGAAAATTGAAACCTGTAATAGGTGATTGGGTTTTCACTTCAACTCTACTTACTTCTCAAAATATACCAACTAATCCACCAGTAATGCGTTATGGGTTAATGTCCCAAATATGACCACACACTGTAATTGTGAACTTCCTTTATAGAATTTTTTTTGTATTTTTTGTTAATAAGTATGTGGTTATATGTTCCTGGGATAGATAAGATGAGTAAAAACGATTGAAACTGGTTATATCATTAAAAAACAAAACACCATGCCATTTTGTGCGTGTGGATTGCTAATCTTTCGAAATCCAAGATGAAGAGCTTTTATATTTTTACCGCTTAAGGCCCCTGATCATTTAAGCTACTTCGGACAGCACTCAATAAATGCAGATTTGTATATTCATAACAAATGCATATTTGTATATTTGTCATCTATGGTTTTAGAATTTAATATTGTTCGATCGAACACCAAGTTTGGAAATAAAATTTTACCACTACATTCTGTTATGCGGACAATTCCACTAAATTTAACCCCAACTACGTTTTTGCAATTCAATCAAGCAATATTAATTTTTTAAACCTAACCTCCAAATGGCACAAAGATCAGAATATAACTTTCATTCGACTTTGCACATGTGTTATCATAAATGATAAAAAAGATGCATTTATGATAACATTGTTATTTGTTATTTGTACCATTTGAAGGTTAGAGTTTCAAAGTTGATATAGAGTAAATTGCTCGATTGAACAGCAAAGACATAGCTTTTTGACAGTTTGTATTCATCAAAAGAGACCAGTAACATAACATAACTGTTTCATCTGCAAAATTATCCCATATGTTATCAGAAATATTCATTCTATTGTAGTTAATCGAAAAATCCAATGTGTTCAAAAATTTCTTGCAACTTATTTTTTTTTAATTTTGTTTGAAAAGCAATCCGAACTATGTATTCCGACGTACAACTCAGACTAGATATATTGTTCTCAAGGTGGCAACCACATGGTTAACCACTTTGAACCATTGAACCACCAATAGTTAGTGCCAACACTGGGCCCAGAAAATTCAATTTGTAATTTATTCAACCACTTTGAAACATTTATTTGTTAAATGTATTTACCTAGTATTTGTTTATAATAGTTCATAAATTGATTTTAAAAACCGTTTTACTCGTCAATCAAATTGTTGTTTTCAGTTTAAAAAAGTGGTTGCTTGTTTTATAAGAAATAAGGCTCTGTCAATATAATTATTTAATTTAGCAAACTCTTTATATTATATTTTGTTTTGCACTATATTCCGTATTATAATTACTGTATTCGATGTATAATATCGACATATTTTCTTAGGTGACCAGCCAGTATATGCAAGCCATATTTTTATCTATCGCTAGCATGTCATAAATGTTTATGTAATTGGCCATATATCAAACATCTAATAACGATTTCCTTTATTACAAGATTACGATAATTTTATCGCATAGGTGGCCACATTATGTGAATTGGGATCACCAACGGATCCAGACAATGCAAACGTCGCCAGAATCAAATTCAGTGTGAGAGCTGCGGGGCAATATCAAATATCTGTTATGATAGGTGAGGAATGTCTTATTGTTAATTTATTTGTTGACATATCTATTATAATAGAATTATTTGAAATAATGTTTATTATAATTCCCATAGTTTACATGCATGAATAAGTCAAATAACAGTGGAAATATTTTACGCCTTTTGATGCACCGAAACTTCTAATATCCAATTACAAACTTTTCGGCAGGTTAGGAAATAGCTTACAAAATAGTATTCAAACTTGTTATAAATGGCATCTTGCCTCAATGCAAGTTGCATAAACTCTTAATATATGTTTTAAATAATTAATAATCAATAAGAATTAAAATATACCAAATTTTGAAATTGCTTGGCAAATGAGTTTTAAAATTTTGTTTCGGCTAAAATTAAATTAAATTTAAAATTTAAAGAATTTTATGTATTTTCTATAAACGTGTGTTTACAGTTAGTTATGTAATGTTAGCGTTAAGTAATGTTAGCGTTAAACCCATGTTGTATCTACATCATATAAAAGGTATATCAATATCGTCAAAAAAAATTAACGATTGCTTACGAAGAATCCAATAACTAATCAGCACTATTTCTAACTATATTTTTCGAGTATTTTTTAAATTTTAATATCGTTTCGGGATTTTTTTCGAAACGCAGGCAAAAAATTCTGTTAATTTTAAAGAAACGACTCGTACAATTGTCAGTTGTAGTTTCATCTAATAGGTTTTACTTTTTTGAAATTAGTGCAGCCGTTAACAAAAAAGGGTCCACGAAAAGTTAAATTTTGATATTTATACGCTTACACACATACAACTTTGTCTCATTTAGCCTAATGTCATACAATTCAGAATTACTTGAACTTTCGAGGAAACATAAAATTTACCAATGCGATTTTTTTGAGAAAACTAAAAAATTATAACAACTTTCTACAAATTCAATTATTTCAATTATTCAAATATTCCTGAGTGATTTTCAGTAATAATTTGAATTTTCTTCAACTAATTGTATAATAATCAACTTAAACAATAAGAATTGAATAGTTAGTTAGGTAAAATTATTTCAACTTTTATTTCTAAAATAACATTCTCATTTTCACGAAAACCTAATCAAAGTGATTTCAAAGATCTTTTAAACATACTTATAATATCTATAATTGTATAAATTAAATTAATTTGTTTAACATAGTTCATTTTATCCATTTCTGATCTAAAATTAATTTTATTTAAGTTTGGACGTAAACTGTAATCAGTAGCTACTAGCAAAACACAACACTACGTGCATATGCTTTGTCATAGATTTTGATTAGAAATGCGAAAAATCTTAACTTTTTTTATAATAAATAAAATTTATCGTTGTACAAAGTTTCATAAAAATCGTCAAAAAAATTTTTTTTTAACAATTAGAAAGAAACGGCTCTTCCCAACTTATCAGAAACTATAGTTTCTAGTTTATAGTTGATTAAATCAACGTGATTTCAAACAAATATTTTTTGAATAGTTTTTAAATTTTCAAAATGGAAAACGTTGACGGAAGATCAAAACTCGGCTCATATGCAAACAAATATACATATATATATATAAATTCAACGTCGAAAAAACTGTCAAGATATATATATATATATATATATATATATATACTAACATATATCATTTTTCAAATTTGTTGTCATTTGATTCAGAATAACTTGAAACGTCGAGAAAATTGGCAAATGGGATTTTTCGCGAAAACATAACTCCTCTTTCGAAAATTAATAAATCTGAATTGGTTCAATTAAAAAATTCAAGTACTTAGTTGCCATTTTTTTTGGCCTGAATAGGTATAAATTAATATATTTATTTGACGTTAATCCTTCGATTTTTATTGAATCTACGTTTTATTTGTACCATACACGATTTACTCAACGATCGAATCGCTTTCTATAATTCAGCGAGAAAGCCCGCATTTGCGTTCGCATGTAATCCTATTGAAACGGTGAAAATAATATATGATAGGAGCTGGCAACGTACCCTATCATCAGGCCATCATTAATCTTCCTCTACGAGATTTCGCTACGTCTTTATGTACATACATATTTTGCACACGTATATGTAAGTAAGCATACATATATACATATTATATGTATAATGAAATATATAGTACGTAGTTTGTATTACATATTTAAGCGAGTACACTTATTTGTTCAGTGATTTGAATATTTTGAAGATAAAATATTTTTATGGCGTAAATGTAGTTTGTTCAGTGAAGTAGTTATTTCTAATATAATTCATATTTTGCTAGGAAAAAAATCCGATACTTAAGTAAAATCCATGAAGCATTACTCTCGGCTATTTTTTTATGGCTTTTATAATATTATTGTTGAGTACTACAAGTGATTATATTTATATCATACGTTTCAATTGTTACTGGCTCTGTTAATTGCCTAGTTTCTTTATTGTATCAGATTTTATAAAATATTAATTCTTCAAAAGCTGGAAAACATTAATTTCTTCAAACGTGAACTGAAATACTCATAATAAAGAACTAATAATTGTTAAGTGTAATTGATTAACGTGTTACATAAATTATTAAAAACATACGAAATAATATAATAAAAACACCTGTTTATGAAATGTAATTTCACGCCTCATGTAATATATACATATCTTTCTTAAATACTGTCTATATTTTAAACGTGCGATTTGATGATGTTTGTTTGACGGTTTTTTCGCAATTAAAGAGAAAAACTAGTTGTAAGCAGCATTTTCCCTTGGAAAGTTCCATGAACTTTTCGCGACATATACATAATCAATAAAAATTAAGGTTCAGGTAGTTTCGAAAAGTTCAACTAAAAATTCAAAAATAAATTTTCGCTTTCCCTAAAAACTAATTAATACGATTTCCAATTGATGTCTTTAAAACAAATTTATAATATATGAAATATGTAAAATTAAATTAATTTGCTTACCACATTTAATTTCATTCGTTTCGAGTTTTACGTGTGTTTTATTTAAGTGTGGTGGACGTAAACTGTAATTAGTATTTACGTATGAAACACGGAATGTACATACTCGTGTACTAGTACTCACTCGAGTCGCGTTTATGAATTTTTATAATTCAACCGCTTATTGTAGGCCTATAAGTTATTGTATGTTATTTCAGACTACGAGGTTCATCGTTTTTTCAACATTCAATCATGAAGAAACATCGTAGCCTATCTTTACTAAAAACAAATCAATGCGATTCCCAGCCAATATCTTTCAAACAAAAAATCGGCTTGGCCATCGTCGCGTAAAACTGACCGAAGCTAGTCCTTATCGAGTTACATCGAATGGGCTTTGAAATTTATAAACGGTGGACATAAGGCCAAAAATCGGCTCAAACGTGCATAGTTTTTACAAATTACAAAAGTGGAGAAAATTATCAAATCAGAATTTTTTACGTAAATATAAACTTATCTTTCCGGAAGTTTATAAATTATAGAGAGTTGTAGTTGATTAAAGTAACAAACGCTTTTTGCGCAAGAACTTTTTTTCAAATCTTGCATTTTTGCTAATATTATTCCAACTTTATTACTTCAAACTTATTTTAAATTATGTAATATTGATATTAGAAATTGTGAACCTAGTTATTATTGCCAGTTCCAGTCAACAGGCTGAAATCAAGAATAAGCGTAAGCATTATAATTTTGAAATTAGCTTTTGCTTTAATCTGCTATAGATAATGTATATTTAAACACTCCTATCGAGTTTATAAAATATATCTAAATTTGTCTAATATAACAAATGATCAATTTAAACTACACATTGATCAAAAAACGACCAGAATGGGTCCGAAAACACGATAAAATGAATTTACAATACCATACCGCGCCGTTTCTTAGAGATATTTTTTCAAATTTATCAAAGATATTTTTTAGTCGTAGCCGCTAAACTATCCAGACTTTGATTTAATCGACTATCAACTTTGCGCATCGTAGGATACGCGCACTTCGATAATTTTGAAGAAGTTAGAAATCGGTGAATGGTTTTGCACAGAGAAGAAACAGTTTTGTTTTCAATTACAATATTCAGAAAGACTGTTAAGATGTATAGAATCAAGTGACCACTACTTTTAAGAATTAATTTTTTCATTTTCTTGAAAATACGTTAATGTTTTTTTCGACAATTGTCGAATGAAATAACTCGACAATTGTAAAATAAAAATAACTTTCCGGTGCACTTGGTATGTTTTGCAAAAAATTTCTTTCGGTGATCTTTTTAGGTGTATGTTTCATTTATATAAAGATTTTAAATACGATTACTATTGTTAAATGTCTTTTTTTCTTCAGGCACGTGTCACATTGCCGGTAGTCCTTTCCTACGCACTTTCTTGGCTGGACCAGCCGACGCGAGGCGTACCAGGCTGGTACGGCCTGCGGCGGCTGTTGTCTGTGCTGCTGGCGCTGCCACCAAGCTACACGTCGAACCTCGCGACGAACATGGCAATGCTTGCAACTTGGACGATTCGGAATCTAATCCTGCGCAGGTAATTGAAAGAGATAATTCTAGTACACTATAAATGAAGAAGTATAAATCTTTAGTGTACATACAGTATAATGAAAGAACTAGTATGTTTTAATGTACGATGAAACAGTGAATATTTATTGAAGTAAAACTTCTTTAGGTGCTACTAGGGTTTACACCGTACAAATGCAACGGAAATGCGTTACGCCAGAACTGTACGTCATTCGCTTTCGATGAAATCATTTCTATACGGGTTCTAGGCAACACCGTACAAATGCAACGGAAATGCGTTACGCCAGAACTGTACGTCATTCACTTTCGATGAATCATTTCTATACGGGTCGATTATGATTAGTCGTCGTGTATGTGAATAGAGATCTGTCGTTGTATGCGTACCGCCATCAACTTTGTATGCGTTCCGATATCGACAAGAAAATCGGCATAGATTGTTCCTTGAAAATAATAGAACAAATTAAGCATTCGTGTCGTGTACTAAACGTATGTTTATTGATTAGAAATAATTTTATTATTCGTAGTTTCGCTAAATCTTTGAAGTTATTAAAATGAAAAGCTGTTTATAAGCCAGCGAAAAAGTAAAAAAATGCAAGCAGCCAATGAATGTATGTTAATTTTAATTACATGAAGTTCTTCAAACACAATTCCATGATGAGAGAAGTTGCAAAAACAGTATTTGTTTAGGCGTTGTTTAACATAATCCACTGTGTGAATGAATATTATAGAATTTATTAATCAGGAATTACTTCATTTCTCTAATGAAGGTTCATTTCTAAATGCTAATTACAATGACAAACCGAACATATTTGAAGTATGACTTTAATTACATTATTGTTTTTAGATATTTTACATATTTTTAATGCTATTACAATATATTTTATAATTTATCATTATATAAATGTGTGTAATGGTTGACACTAATAAATGTGTGCATCACGAGTCTTACCATATTACTAATATACATTATTCAAAATTGTTATATGACGTATTTATTTTTACTTAAATGCCATCTTGTACAGTAGCAAATAAGTTTTACTTCAATCGCGTGTGAACCTTACGCGCACTTTATTTTATTTCTGCTACGATAGTGTGTCCAAATTCAGTCGATCATTCCAGTTCATAAAATAATTGAATGATTGTTTAAATTTTATTATAATCAATTTGAAATTCCACAATTTATTAAATTATTTTAGTCATAAAGTTTTTGCTGAAGGCAATAAGTTAGTACTTAAAGAAGTGTTAATCAAGTGACATCGCTGTGAGGAGATAATTGGTCATGGTTGAAAATTTATAACAAAAGCATTTTTTTCGTTGTTAGTTTATTTGGTTGTAAGCACTTTGGTTCAGTTTAAGACTTCGATGTAATATTTTAGCAATTAATTGTTTCATAAGTTCTATTGTTATTTTTAAATCAGATTCCACAGATCTTTTTTTATAAAATCCAACTAACCCTTTACTCTGGCAAATGTGTAAACAATAAGAAATGGCAAATAAAAAAGTAAATTAATTCAAACAAGTTGGCTCGTATGATATTCAAATCTAATTTTGTTCTTATGGTTAGTTGTATGTTTTCTGGTTACCGTGAACATATTGGCGTTCTGGTACATCAGCCAATTTGGGGCATACTTGGGCGCCTCTTATTTTTCAAGAATTTTATTTTGTGACCTTTGCAAAAAGTTTACGTTGGTTTAAGCAACAATAGCCTAAAATTAAAAAAAAATATTATTACGTTTTGTAACAGATTTTATCGGTCTGATTGTTTGATAAAACTTTTTTATATTAAAACTTTTTTATGTTGGATAAATTTTACTATTGGTTGACGTTCACTATTTTCTTAAAAGATGTTTAAGCAATGTGGGTATTATAATATAACTCGTACAGTTTTTTTAGGCTAGCAGATTTGAGTAGATACGTTGTTGTTTCTGTAAGCTCTAATTTTCGGACAGAGACTCACACTTATATTGGGGGTTACAATTTTACAGAATTTTTTATCAAAACTAATTAATTAAAGTAAATAATTATCTAATATGATGAATCTATCAAGTTCATATAACTTCTATTATTAGTATTAATCACTTACTCGTAAATATTTTTATCACATGGATAAATAAAACTATCTTAAAATTTCAGGGCTATGAGGTTGAAGTACGTGATCTGTCTGGCGCCGAAAATCCTCAATTATCATCATCAGCGACAATACATTACGATTCCGTAAATAGAAGAATAACTCTAACTTTACTCTTTGAACAGACTGCATGTTTGAAGTGTTGTGTGACCTACAATGGTCAACAACTTATTGCTGGAGAATTCGATGTAATTGTTCTTAGTGGTAAGTCCATATAAATTCAAATTTAAATTTTGTCGAACAAGCTGCGAATAAAAAGTTGATCTCAGTATATTGTTATTGAGGAAAAACTAACGTTAATTTTTTTTAGAAATTGTTTGCATATTAAAACATGCTTTGCATAAAATTAATGTTTCTTGAAATTTTTAATCTTTGGACAAACGAACTAAACTTGTTTTTAATCTGTGAATTTAAATTCACTAGTTTTTTTGTCCAAAAATTAAAAGTTTCAAAAATCATGAATCAACATGCAAAAATGGCCACAAAGTAAAACTATATGTACAATAGTATACTATATTAGAATTCAAATAATTTAATTTTGATAATATTAAGAAAAAGTGTTCAATTAGTATAAAATTTAATTAGATCATTGTTAAAACGAGTGGTTTATTCACATTGTTATAAAATTAATTCAACATTTACACGTGCAGTAATTATTACTTTTTGATCATTTTTGCATGGTAAACGTATCGGCATGAATTTAATATTTGATATATATATTCCAAATTATCTGATTTTTGATAAAAATTTCAGAAATAAAATTATTTTTCAAACATATTAGGAATTATAATTTACAATACATTTTGATAATTGAAAAAATATGAACATATAAATATTATTGACGATTTCAGAAATCTTTGAAATATTAATACAAATGAAAATTTTTAGCAAGGACATACAGACATAATTTTGAAAAAAAGCAGTTCAATAATAAATCGTCACAAATGTGGGACTCTTTTTTTTACAAATAGGTCTTTCGGTCTTCAGTTTTTAGTAATTATTTCTTGCATACGGGAAGTAGAAATTAAAAGCCAATCACCTTCAACAGGTTAATTTTTTTTGTCTTGATTTTTATTGCTTGCTGAATAGTACTATGTCATTTTGTTCATTTATAATTTACTAAGTATTTAATAATTGTCCGAAATTGAACAAAAGTATATAATTAATTATAATTTCGTTAAACACCTGTTCATTGAAATAAAATCGATTGAAATCACTGATACTGACATAAGTTAATTGATTTGAATAGAAATAATTACAAATATCAATGATTGGGTACTCAAGAAACATGAGAAAAACACCCTCAAAATGAATATTTTCATGTGCGAAAATGATTACTGCGACAAGACCGTGACAATGACAGGACTATTGTTATCTTGGCTTTTTTCATATTATAGAATCGCTGATACGTTAATTAAACTAGCCAATTTTAAAATAAAGTCTCTATCATTCATTACTATCCTAATATATACCATTTTGTCTGTATTTTCCCTATATGACTAATTAAATATAATTAATCTGCATTATTGTATTAATTAGTGAAATTAGAAACATGGGTGGTTATTATATGTTTTCTTGTTTGTAGGAAGCGACACCACATTAGTGCACAAAACTGTAGCTTCCCGTAGACATAACATCTGCTACGAGGCGCGTCTGTTAGCCACAGGCGATATAACTTTGCCGAAGCCGAAACGAGTTCTTTGCTACGTCAGTCCCAAGCAGATCACTCTCAAAGAGATGTTCCTGAAAATCATTCCAAAAAGATTGATCACATTCCGACTTTGTCCGTCCACAAAGTTTTCTTTCTTGCTCGATGAGAACTTTCATATAGACGATGGGTGCCAACCGAGGTAACTAAATCAATCACATAGATTTTGTTTGTAATTTGATACACTCATGTTTTTTTTTTAAGATATTCAGTTCATCATTTTTAATTACAATACCTAAGTATTTATACAGAATGATATTCATAAATCTCATGAATGTTTGCTTATGATTTCTAATCAATTAATTATCTTTGATTACCGTATATAATCCGGGCATATTCTTATTTTTCTCAAGTATTACGTATCTTTCGAGTATTACGTTAAATGTGTCATACTATCAAATTTGATCAAAAATTCATTTTTATTACATATAGTTATAGTATAATAAGAGGGTGAAAGTTCAGGGTCATACATGTTATTAACTTCCTTCTCGACGTTTCAAGTCATTCTGAATCGAATGAGACCAAAATTTGGAAAAAGTATGTGTGTGTGTATGTGAACAGATTTTTTACCGTAAATCGACGTTTTCTCGAAAACGGCTTGTCCGATTTCAGAAATTTAAAAGCCATTTGATGCAACTCGATGAGGACTATCGTTTGTCAGTTTTGTGCGACGGTCTGCCGAACTTTCTTTATAATTTGAAAAAAAAATTCAAATAAGTTATACTACCGAATCGATTTTAAAAAATCAAAAACTGTTCGAAGGATATTAGTTGGGAATGACACTGATTAGTTTCAGGTGAAAATCTACCGAGTCGTTTTCTTGTAATTAACTGTTGAGAAAAAAATTAAGCCGATTTTTAAGGAACTTTTTTTAGCGATATATATCATGGTCTTATAGAACTGTAATATTACGGCTCTACGACATGTAGTTTAATATTAAAAATTCATCAAAGTTTGAGAAAATGAGTAGTTTTTTTGACGTTAGCTAAAATTAAAATTAGACGATTTTACTTGGTATAACAATAGAGTACTTGGGCTTAATGAACATACTAAACCATTAAAGTCCTGCGGAAACTGGTTAAAATATAAAAATTGTTGATTTTTGAAAATTTGCTTTTAGAAACTACTCCCAGTTAGCGTGTTCGTTCGTTTTCAATTATGTGTAATATATCCACTTGGAATACTGTTAATCACTCATAAATTTATGGAGGCGAAGTCCATATTAAATACCAAAATTATAGACAATAATAAATTTCATAAAATATTATTTATATTTCGTTTATTTTATATATGATTAATATCCACGACACTATGTGTTGTCATACTGATCGTTAATAAAACGTTATTGGTATTTTCTTATTTATAATTGAAAAGAAAGGTTTCAAGAATTATACATTTTTTTGGCAAAAACTACTAGGGAGAAACAAAAGCCATGTCCGATCTGACACTTGAATTTATTTTTTTTTTTTTTTCTGTGCTGTCACTATATGGGCCAATCTGTCCAGTAACATGTGATGCGTGTTGACAAGCCGCGATGCGTGTTGGCAACCCGCTACATCACTCCGCCTAATGAAAAAGATTGTTTCGCATCTCTGACTGCCATTCTTGAACTTCCTTGTAAATTTCTTTTGGTTGAGATTGTGTGATAAATTGCCGTGTTGGCTTGTTGAGTTTGTTGATTGCTTACGTGGCCCTTCGCTGGTGAGTTAGCGGTTGAGTAGATGTGGCCCTTCGCTGGTGAGTTAGCGGCTGAGTATATTTGACACTTCGCTGGTGAGTTAGCGGTTGATTGTATGTGGCCCTTCGCTGGTGAGTTAGCGGTTGATTGTATGTGGCCCTTCGCTGGTGAGTTAGCGGTTGAGTGTATGTGGCCCTTCGCTGGTGAGTTAGCGGTTGAGTGTATGTGGCGGTTGCCAAATTGTTTGCTCCCTGTCTGTTGCCATGGTGCTTATTATCGACTTATTTACCATGATAATAAGTGATTTATTGAGCACGTGTTATTGTTGATCTTGAAGTGCGTGGTCGGAGTCTCAGTTGTAGGATTAGAATGTTCTTCTAGTTATGGCGGTTGTGAGCCATTTATAATAATTATTTATATTTTTAAAAATTCTTTTCTTAGTAATTCTTGAGACTTCAATTTATTTTTTTTGTGCTACTTCAAAATATGTCTTGATCTTCTTACCTTCTTGTATGTGTGTTACTAGTTCACTCTCGGGTCACCAAAATATGGAGGCGTGCTCCATATTGTAGAAATACCGAATTGTCCAAATTATAGTCATAATAAATTTCATAAAATATTATTTATATTTCGTTTATTTATATATGATTAATATCCACGACACTATGTGTTGTCATACTGATCGTTAATAAAACGTTATTGGTATTTTCTTATTTATAATTGAAAAGAAAGGTTTCAAGAATTATACATTTTTTTGGCAAAAACTACTAGGGAGAAACAAAAGCCATGGTCCCGATCTGACACTTGAATTTATTTTTGTTTTTTTACCAACTAGTTATATACTCATTTTAAAAACATATAAAATGAAAAGTTTACCAAAAAAAAAACTTTTTTGGATCCGCAACCCTTACCACCTGGTTTCAATAAAAAATCAGGCGAAAAACTGCCCGGGGATAAACCCAACCGTTTACATATATATGTAGATTTTAATAATTCAAAAAAAAAGTAAGGGCACTGTTAAGTTTAGCTTTTCTTATATATTTTTTATATTTGGCTATGTAGAACAATTGTCTAACAATTACTTGAATAATGACACTAAATAGTTTCAAATTAATATTATTAACAAACTACAGTTAAATTAGCATTATATATAAAAGATTTTTTTAAGATTCTCATGTGTATTTAAAAGTGTACTTAAATCACTTACATTATGTTGTTTCATATATTTTTCTCAGAGTGCTTCTCTCATCAAGGGATCGAGATGTTATAGCAGCAACTTTCACGCACTTTCTTCTGAAAAACATCGGTGGTTCGGAAACATTTAAAGATAAACAAGATTTTTTCTATCACGAGGTAACTTACCAAGAAAAATGATTAAAGTAATTATTCACAATAATAGTTAACGAACTCTACTTGAAATTTATACATTAGAAATTCCAGTTTTCGCCTATTTTTATTTATGTAACAATTTCAAACATGTGTCTTTCTATGCTTAATTACCTATTAATATTCTCAATGAATTTCTGTTACTGTTGATCGATGATCCAAATCATTTCATATATTTTTGTGAAAATTAAAGAGATGCGGGTAGATCTAATTTTACAAAAATTGGTTGAAATTGCTTTACTATTAATGATAATTTTTTGAGATCAGTATAGATATTGTTTTTTTTTTCTTGTTAAATTTGACATGAAAATTGGGTACACTACCATAAACTAAAATTATAATAATTTTAATTACATTAATTAAAATTGAAATTATTCTTCGTATTTAAATATATTTGTTGCGTTCATTTCAGGTGCGAAAAGCACATTCTAGACATCACCACGAAAAATTAGCTTTAAGAGTTTCGAGGACGAGGCTGTTGCATAGTAGTATGAAAGCTACTAAAGGATTTAGTACTGCTGATTGGTGTAGAAACTTTGAAGTTACATTCCAAGGAGAGCAAGGTTGAAAATTATTTTCATTTTTTAAAACCATATTATACTAAACTTTAAATTTAGTATATAATTATTTCATTTGATTCAGTTATAATATAATAATAGGAAGTGTTTAACACGACGAAAAAAAATCATACTCATATTACATATTACACAATTTTTTCACAAATGTGCATGATAATTAAGATAAGTTTATAGCTCAAAATAAATAATAAAAAAACTCATTTTTTATTTAGGTGATGTATTTGCTTAGGAAAGGCAGTAATAAATATGCAATATTCTTAGGAGTCTTGTTAATTTTTTTTTGGAATTTAATATTTCATAATAATTTTTAAAATGAAGTTTCAATGCACGTACTGTAAATAATGAATATATAACTATTATTGTTTTTATAGTATTATAACGGTTTTTAGGAGTTGATTGGGGCGGCGTAAGGCGCGAATGGTTCGAACTATTGTGTAGCGCGCTTTTTTCACCAGAAGGAGGTCTTTTTAGAACATTCCAAGATAAAGGCCAAGCTCTGGTGCATCCTAATGGTTCACAACAAAGACCACCTCATCTGAAGCTAAAGCATTTCGAATTCGCTGGTCGAATTGTAAGTCTATAAATTATAATTAAAAAAAAAAAATGCAATTTTCACCATATGCAAAAAAGTCTTAGGTCTCATGATGTAAAATTGATTTGAGGTTTAGTTTACCAATATACGGCTTTTACTTACATCATTTCTCATAGTATTCACAATAAAAGCTTAAATTTCTTCACAAAGCTTCAAATTTACTTCCTTGTAGGTCGGCAAATGCTTGTACGAAAGTGCGTTGGGCGGCACATATAGGCAGTTGGTGAGAGGAAGATTTTCTAGATCATTTTTAGCGCAACTTATAGGACTTCGTGTACATTATAAGGTAAGGCACAATAGTATATTAACACATTACCATTCTCTCATAATAATGCAGAAATTATTTTCTTACTAATTCATTTGATAATTATATGTTTTCTTGAGGTTTCGAGTTTATCTTAATTGGTTGTATGTTTGTATTGTGTGTATGTATAATAGCTAAAATATTACCTTTAGTCGACGATTTTATGAAAAATTGTTGAAAACTAGCTAAACCGTTTCTTTATAGAAGCAAATAAATGCAAAAAAAATATCAGCGTTATTTCCACAATTTATGAACAGATTTTTGGAAGTTGGCATTCTTGCTAGTTTGAAGATCCACGGGGCCGTTTCTTCATTGTGAAGTTGGTGAAACATTGCACGCAAAAAGTGGTTTAATTATAAACATTCATTAATATTTGAAATAAAATGACGCGCTTCGACATATAGCGTGCATATTAAGTGGAAATCGCATTTATAAGTTTTTGAAGAAAAGTAAAATCTTTATTTATAATTAGTCGACATTTGATCGTGACAATTTAAATGTTGTTAAATCTTAATTAACTTAGGTCTTCATTGTCAAAACATTATCTACACATATTAGAAAATTCATATAGTTTGTCCTAATGTTTATTAGGTCATATTTGTTTCATTATGCATATGCAAAATATGAAAAAATCCTAAAAAATTATGATATTTTATCAAATATAATACCCTATAATTGATTTATTTATAGTACTTCGAACAAGACGATCCTGATTTGTACCTGAGCAAGATCAAGTATGTCCTTGATACTGATCTAGAATCTCCTGACAGTTTGGAACTGTACTTTTCTGAGGATCAATACGATTCCCAAACAGGCCAACTCCTGCGAACAGTCGAATTAATGCCCAAGGGCTGCCAGGTCAGGGTTACCAACTCGAATAAATTGAGGTATCTGGACGCGCTTGCTCAACACAGGTTGGCCAATAGTGTGAGGGATGAAGTCGATGCATTTTTAAAAGGATTGAATGATCTGATACCAGATAACTTGCTAAGCATATTCGATGAGAACGAATTAGAGGTAAAATGGAATTTATTTTTCAATTCACATTCATTTTCAAGATTTGGACATTTGCAATATTTGGCAATTTGAACATTCGAACATTTTTAACATTTTTAACATTTTCAACATTTTTAACATTTTAACATTTTTAACATTTTTAACATTTTTAACATTTTTAACGTTTTTAACGTTTTTAACGTTTTTAACGTTTTTAACGTTTTTAACGTTTTTGACGTTTTTGACATTTTGGACATTTTGGACATTTTGGACATTTTGGACATTTTGGACATTTTGGACATTTTGGACATTTTGGACATTTTGGACATTTTGGACATTTTGGACATTTTGGACATTTTGGACATTTTGGACATTTTGGACATTTTGGACATTTTGGACATTTTGGACATTTTGGACATTTTGGACATTTTTTGACATTTTTGACATTTGGACATTTTTACCATTTGAATATTTTTAACATTTGAATATTTTTAACATATGAACATTTAAACATTTTTAATATTTTAAATATTTTCAATATTTCAAACATTTTTGTTTATGTTATTTTCATATTTATGTCAACAAATTTAAAAAGAGATTTTCTATTTTAAAATAGATGTTTTTTTACGCTTTACTCCTAAAGCATGTTTGGTTATTAAAGTTTTTAAAATCATTTAAAATGTAACCAAATTTTTAAATCTCTTTCTGAATTTTATTGTGATGTTAATTAGGGTCATATACAGGTTTTGTTTCTAATTTTGTCAATATGGCTTCTACAAGTCTTATTTTTTTGCTGTTGGAGTTGTTAAAAGCTGAATTTTGAAAACAAATACATGTATTTTTTATAAATATATCTAGATAATAGTAAAAATATATATATAGATTTCAAAAATGCCTAATATGGTGAAATAAAAATCTAATCTATTTCTATCTATATTTTCTGATTGTGAGAAACACATTTGGACATTTTTACCATTTGAATATTTTTAACATTTGAATATTTTTAACATATGAACATTTAAACATTTTTAATATTTTAAATATTTTCAATATTTCAAACATTTTTGTTATGTTATTTTCATATTTATGTCAACAAATTTAAAAAGAGATTTTCTATTTTAAAATAGATGTTTTTTTACGCTTTACTCCTAAAGCATGTTTGGTTATTAAAGTTTTTAAAATCATTTAAAATGTAACCAAATTTTTAAATCTCTTTCTGAATTTTATTGTGATGTTAATTAGGGTCATATACAGGTTTTGTTTCTAATTTTGTCAATATGGCTTCTACAAGTCTTATTTTTTTGCTGTTGGAGTTGTTAAAAGCTGAATTTTGAAAACAAATACATGTATTTTTTATAAATATATCTAGATAATAGTAAAAATATATATATAGATTTCAAAAATGCCTAATATGGTGAAATAAAAATCTAATCTATTTCTATCTATATTTTCTGATTGTGAGAAACAGATGCGGTTACAGAACATCTGTACGTTCAAATATGTTGACCAAAAATAGCTAGATAATTTATATATTTCATAAGCAGGCGCATATATTCATGATCTATGTAATCATTTGCACTTTGTAATTAGTGGTAGAATCCAAATCATTTTCAATTGATTGATTGATTTATTTCCAGCTATTATTATGTGGTACTGGTGACTATTCGGTGGCGGACTTTAGGGCGCATCACATTGCGAGTGGTGGGTCGCCAGAATTTAGAAGAGTTCTAGGATGGTTTTGGGCTGCAGTGGCCAATTTCACAAGGACGGAAATGGCTAGACTTCTGCAGTTTACGACAGGTTGCTCGCAACTTCCTCCCGGTGGTTTTCAGGTATTATGAATTGATTTTCACATTGGTAGCATCAAACAATTTTATGAGCAAAATATTTAATAATGGAGTTGTCTATTAGATGATAAATGTATTCACATCTGTTTGATTTATTACCATGCCAATTGCTTTTAACTATCACCGGTTTAGTCGTTCATCATAGCCATTTTTACATTAGTCCATATTTTTTATTTAAAATTATGCATACATGTACTTTGATAATATTATAGGCAATATAGTTCAGTCTTTGTTGTTTTTGTATACAAACTTACCTAAAAGAAGTGTATTTGTAAATATTGAAAGATCATGCCAAATATTATGAACAATGAAGGCTTTCGAAGAAATCATATTTACTGTTACTGAAACTAAAACCATAAATTCATATTTAATTAGATAAAGTTAAAATTATACAGAATCTTTGTCTGAAATCTGGTATTATAATAATTATATTCTAAATATTATGTCATAATAAACCCATATTTGTCAACATTTTTCAAATTATTTTGTATCTTATCCAATATTTTATCAATTATTTATTTATTTATAAATAATTATTATTTTATTTGTAATATGAGAATACATAACAGTTATATAAAAGTGCATATTACAACTGAAATACTAATTTTATAGGAATTAAATCCAAGATTTCAACTAACCGCCGCACCAACATTTGGAAATCTGCCTACTGCGCATACTTGGTGAGCAATTATTTGCATATTTATTTTTTACTTATTATTAACAACTTTGGGTAATAAAGTATTTCTATTTAATTTAACTTAGTACCTAGTAACCTAATTACTATCAAACTAGACATGAATTAAAAATAATACCAGCATTTATCAAATACTTTATACAAAGTAAAGATCAATTATATTTGTGTTCTATTTTTTCAGTTTCAACCAGCTTTGCTTGCCTGATTATGAAAGTTATGAGCATTTCGAACGAGCCTTGTTGTTGGCAATAAGTGAAGGAGCAGAAGGATTCGGTATGATCTAGAAAATCTCAGGAGCAATTATTTGCATATTTATTTTTTACTTATTATTACACTTTGGGTAATACTGAAGTTATTCTATTTCATTACCTTAGTACCTAGTACCCTAATTATATCAAACTAGACATGAATTAAAAATAATACCAAGCATTTTATCAAATACTTTTATACAAAGTAAAGATCATTTATATTTTGTGTTCTATTTTTTCAGTTTCAACCAGCTTTGCTTGCCTGATTATGAAAGTTATGAGCATTTCGAACGAGCCTTGTTGTTGGCAATAAGTGAAGGAGCAGAAGGATTCGGTATGATCTAGAAAATCTCAGGATTTCGGTGCTTCTTCTATTTTGTACAGTATTTTCTAGAAGTTAATTTTTACACACACATTCAAATTAGCGCTGTGTAACAATTTTTGGTTGTCCACGACAATCTCACCACTTATAGTAGGCAAAGTTTTGATGTTTGAAGATGACATGAAGGTAATTTTAAGGTAAGGATATTTTTTTGAATTCTTGGCGATTTTTTTAGGTAAGAAGTTTTAAGTTTAATAAGGACTAATTAAATTAAAACCGATTGTATTCTAGGAGTAATCTTGCTGTACTTAGCTTATCAAAGAACAATCTTGATATTTTTTTAACACGTTTAGATTTGTTGCATAAGCGCAATTCGTTTCTTAAACAATTATTGTTTAAGAAACGAAAACGAATTGTTTATATTTTTGGCCTATTTATTTTTAGAACTATAAACGGAGGGATATATTTTAAGCCACTTTTTAAATGATTTTTGTTAATAGTTTATTGTTATTTACGTAATATCACAAAATACAAAAAATGGTTAAAGATGTGAATAATGACAAGATGAAAATATTTGCTATTTTAAAAATTGAGGGTATGCATGAATTTCAAGTATAAGAAGTATGATGATCACAACATGCGCCTTGTGAATCTGATTTAAATTAAATCGAGTATGAATCTTTGGGATCTTAAAGTTGTTTGAAATCGAATTCTTATAGGATGCTTTCTTTACTTAATATTTTTACAGCAAAATACTTATTTTCTTATTATTATATCTTACAATTAGAACACATAATTCTTTACATAATTCATAATTTTTTCTTAACCATCGATTTTAAAAATCGAGCAATTTTTTTTTGGGGAATGGTGTAACCATACATTTCTCGACGTAATGTATTTTTATATAGCAAGCAATTTAAATCCATATTTGTATGAAATTTATAATTCATTATCGAAAGTTATTTGACGTCATATATATTTAACATAATCGCCATTATAGATAAAAACATCCTGATCGCCATGTTCTGGATTGTAATAATTCAAATATTTGTAAAAGTTTTCATTAGTAATCTTTTGATGTAAAATTAGTCACAAAATTTGTGATATCTAGATACAGGAAGCTCTTGCGAATATCTGCGATATAAGATATAGCGCTTTATAATGTATAACAAATATATTTGCAATTTTCGGCAATATGACAATATAATATTCAAATGTAAATACGAAACATGAGTGTTATATAATAAAATAAGATATATTGTATATACTAAAAATGTATTTATTAGATTAGATTTACTGAGACTGTTTTTTAGAGGATAAAAAAGACAATGTCGAATTAACCTTTCTATATCCACATTTTAAGTACATTAAGTATTCAAAAATGTGCTTTTCCTCGTTTTATATTTTTTAGTTTCTTTGGGTCATTTATAGTTTGGAAATTGGAGCCAATTATAACAGCAATCTACTTCAATAACGTTAAAAAAATTGCGTTTAATCATTTTAGGCTATATTATTTGAGGTCAAAACGACCAAGCTCTAATGTATAAAAAGTTATTGAAACTTGAATGTATGAAATGAATTATTATATAATCGCAATTATATATCACATATCTTGATTTTAATGTTATTTTTTAATATATTAATTTTTTTTTGAAACATACTAAATTTGCTCACTAACATATGCATTTGTTATTTGTTTCTTCAATACGGATACGGATATAGGAAGGTTAATGATTTATTAAACTATCCACAAAGAATTGAAAAAAAAGCTAAATAAATAATTTAATATTATGATAAAAGCTTTTTATACTATTATTTATTAGCACTCTGGGTATAATAATATATAACCATTTTTTTATTTTCGTTCACTATATTATTAATTCATTTTATTTTCCTGAGTACTTTTGTGAAAATTTATGAAATTATTATCGATAAATGTAGGCAAATTTTATGACACAAAAGGCTTAACATTTTTGACAACACAAGTATACTATACTGATTTTGTGATTGGGTCCAAAGGGAGAAACATGTAGTATGTTTGTTCGAACAAGTTTCCATTATTGCATCCTGTATTTGCCCTACATTATCATAGGCGGCTTTGCCTATGAGAGAAGAGTCAAATGTATTTTTTTTTTCGATTTCTTTTAATAATAACTGTAACTTGTATACAGATAGATCACTGTTTGACCAAAATGTATTTGCGTATTAGGTCTCTCCTTCGATAACTCAGGTTGTTAGGTTATAATTTAACCTTTGTATCTGTGGACTGTATTAAACACTGATTTATTGGTATAATTTATGCATTTGTTGCAAGTTCTTATTGTACTAATGATTTGTCACCAAGTTCTAATTGAAGGAGATATATTTGTTGATTATTTATTACATATGTTGTTACGCGGACTTCAGTTTTAGAAATAAAAAAAATAAGTCCGATCAAAATTCGCTACCCCGTTACAGGGAAGCAACCATCCGGTGTAAAAACTCAATGCCATGAAGATTGCCGGCTTCATGGCCAATATAATAAAATGAAAATACGTCCGAACAATCACATTGCTTAGTATTATGTTATAAGTTGAACTTTAGTAGTGAATAACCACTAACCACTAACCAGCAATTAGTTTTTGCGTAAATAATTTAGTTTAGTCATTATTATGATTTGTTTACAAAAGTGTGCGTTGGGTACGATTGTGATAAATTTTGTGGGTACGGTTATAACATGTATTTTATATCTTTTTCGTTTTAAGGCTAAATAGATGAAGAAAAATCTGTTTTGCCTAAAACAAAATAATAAAGATTTTGAAGTTTATCTTATATCTGTGTGTCACACGCCCAGTACGGTTGTAACACTCACCCATTATTTGTCTGATTTGGTTCTATGACTATTCTATCGTATTTAAGAACGGTATTTCAGTACTTATACGCAGACAAATGTTTAAATTACCATTTAGTTTACTTCATATCTAGCTAACTGACAAAGTAACAAAATTGTTGCTAATAAAAAGTGACACATTCCTAACCAGTCTCCCCTACAAGTCTTCAAATCACAAGCATGATTAACGTATTATAATATAAAATGGTTTTGCGGTAATTACTGAATATGTGATATGTGGTGCACCATAATACAATTTTTATAGTCCAATTAAAGGATAAATTTAATAACTTTCGTGTCCAAAATTTGGAATTGAACTGACATATTTCTTCGTAAAATATCATAGACAATGTCTATATGTCTTACATATCTGACTATTAGATAATAGTCAGAATAAGTCAGATTAGTCAATATTATTAAGATCTGCAATAAACAGACAAATATACAAGAAATGTTTCATTTTAAAAATATTTGAAGTGCATCTATGGTCAATTTTATGGTTCTTTGCATCAGAATAAAGGGCAAAGCTTTTTCTATATTGTGACGGATACGGGTTGATGGCCCCATTCTTGGAAATTGCAACGGCTGCCAAATATTATATCTTAGCATTGCATCCCCATTACGAAAGGGTTACTCCAACTCCTAAACCCGACTTCTATGAACACCCTGTAATTACCTGTGGAAACTAAACCAACTAACAACACGAATTAAACATAATGTATTTTTAGCTTATTTAGTTTAACTAATTATGATTACAGATCTGAGGGCGTGGCTGTACCTACGTACAGCCATGTCCTATGCCTAAACTCTAACGTGCTGATAAATCTTTATTAATTACTAACGGAGTAACTTCCCGAACTAACTTAACTGACGGATTAACGGAGGGAATAGCTACTAAACAATAAGTCATCTGACCTTTGCTGGAACAGGTTCTCCTCTCCTGGCACAACACACACACCACCATACACAAAGCGGGTCCAGAGACTCGCGTCTGGACCCGACCGACCTCCTCGGAGGATGTTACATTTCTTAATGATTATTTTCAACCCTCGACTTGGACCTTATATTGCAGGAACCCTAGTAGAAGTAGGCGGGGAAGTCCATTTGCACTAAGGGTTGTGCAACCCTTTGACAACAATACCAGTTGTCGTTACAATATTGAACTTCGTGGTTGTTTTGTTTGGTAGCTTATCAACATCAAATAATCCAATTTCTCATATGATGACACCAAACCCAATACAATTGTTTTTCATCTATAAAATATCTGATCCCTTAGAGAAACCGTTGTTTTTTTTAAAGTAATAACGTATTAAGTTAGTAATTAATTATGGTATCGTAATACTTCTAGACATTTCATAAAAATACAACTAAATGCAAAACATAACAATTGCTGTGTATAATATATTGAATTTTAAAAATAATATAGAGAAGATAATGTTTACCTAACAAATAAGTCACAGGCAAGTTTATAATATTTATAAATTTACAAACGATGAAAATTATAAATAAATATTTCTTTTTCTATTTATATAAATATGTTGAAGCAATTTCAATCAATATTTGCAAACTTACTTAACCTGATTTTGTTATTGTTTTCTTTTTTTCTTGGAATTATATATTAAAGGTATTTATTTAATTCTAATTTTTTATTTTTATTAAAATGCCAAGAGTGCTATGTAATAAGTAATGTATCATTTTCATTACGTATATCATGCCATAAATATCGTAGATAATTCCATAAATTTTATTTGTAAATATGCAATTATAGTATGTAAGTCGAGCCTAATATAATATGAATAATAATGAATTTAATCTAGACTCTAGTTTCTAGAGAGTATATTATATAATATTGATCTC